AAAAATATTATGCACTTTAAATTATATTAAACTATATAATTTAAATTATTCAATAAAAATAAATCTTTTAATATTAAAATTGTTATCTTTTATTTAATATTTGGATTTTTCCGTCTGAATTACAAAAATGAAGAATTGTTATATTAATTTATACCGTCATAAATGGCCTCAGCAGAAGACACAACCAGTTATGAATTTGTGGTGGTTTAAATCTTTCATCAGATTGTAGCTGATGGGTCTTAGTCGCTTCTGGCGCATGCAAGCTTAGCGCAATTCTCATGCTGCCTTCTCAGCTTTTGCCCTTTTCCTTTCAGATAAATCAAGAAAATAAAATTATTGTAATTCCTACTTTTTAGCAGGCTTAAAAGAGAAAAAACGAAGTAAGTAGACTAATACGAATCATGAGCTTATCTTAATTTTAAAATTGAATTTATTGGTAAATAAATATTATTTTATAAATTAAATTTAAATTTTAAAATTTAAAAATAAATAAATTTTAAAAAGCACAAAAACTAATTCAAAAATATTTTAATCATTAAAAACAAATCATTAACCTACCTTACCTTGGCATACCATATTTTTGTTTATATTATTCGCATAATACCGTAAAAAAATTCGGAACATAATAATTGAGAGAAGGGAATCAATCAAGTATATGCCCCCGCACGCACTTGGCTTTTGATTTAGTGGTATAAAGCACGTATAAGTATATTTTTTCACTTCTAAAATAACAATTCGAATCTGATTTTTTATAAATTTATTTAAAAAAAAAAAGAAAAAAAAAGAAAAGAAAACAACAAGTATATGCCCCCGCACATAAAGAGAACAAGACTGCTAGCAATAAAAATGTCAAATTTATATGATGTCAGATCCACAGATTTCTCGCAGCCTGAAGACTTTATTTTCTAGCCATGATTTTATTTCCGTGAATTCCATCAGAAATGTCAACACCGCCAGCTGGCTCTAGAGACCTACCCCCTTTTTTTTTAAAAAAAAACTTAGATTCAATTTTATTTAATTTTATCATTTTATGGCAGATGATAAATTATATTATAAAGAATAATAATTTATCTTTTAAATTTCTTCTCATTTATTTTGAAAATTTTAAAGTGAAGACTTCAACTCTTATAGTATATTTAGATTGAGGAAAGTAGTGAAGAGAGAGGAAAGAAAGAGAAAAAAAAATTATTTAGTTATCAAAAAAAATTAGAGACGGGAAGGATAGGAAAATTTTATTTTATTTTATTTTATTTTTTCGATTTAATTATTTATCTAAATAGAAAAAAAAAAAAAAAAGTTATCCTCCTCTTCCTTTCTCTCAACTCAAATGTAAGATTAATTATTGAAACATCTCTTAATAAACTTTAGAGAATATTTCCTATTTGTATAGCTTAGGGCAATTCCGTAAGTTCCATGATTTGGTTTCCGTGGTTGTATTGGCAAAGAGTTCTTTGGCCAAACTAGATGTACGTAGTTTTTGTGCAGCTAATGTTTGAACTCCATTGTTTTCTCTGTTTTTGAATATCGTAATTTTGGAGATGAGGGAAATTTTCTTACAACAATGAGATTTCAACCTTCGTCCTCATTGTTACGTCGGCATGGGATACACTTTGTCAGTGCAACCAGCGTTGTATGCAATTGTGTTTGAGTTTGATTTGTATTGTCGAATTCAAGATTGAAGTTGATAATATACATCACGGTTGAGCCAAATAGCTTAGGAGCTACTTAATAGACTTATAGTCCTAACAAAAAATGAAACAACTTAAAACTCT